TCTTGCTTTAGTTGTTCAAATTTGAATACCTTTCTATCTCGGATACAACAAAATGGACTCACGGTCCCAAAACATATATGCTCGGAGCTTTCACACATTATATCCAAGAGTCATTGTGCCCCATTAACAAAAGGTTTCCCCCTCCTAGTCATTGAGGTGGTTGCACATCACCAATTCTTGAAATTGTTAGATAGGAATGAGCTAGATGCCTAGTAGAAATACTTTTAACAGGATATCTAATTATTCAAAGATCCATATGACATCATCACAACCAAAATTTTTTCTAATTCAATCAAAGTTAAAGCTTAGTCAAAAGAAACTAAGAAATTGGAATTTCCATCAAAATCAAATTTCAACATCGGGAGATAAGTACGCCATCAAGCCCCTAAGGAGAGTCTCATCACATACATATATATAGGTTTATATCAAATATCCCCACATTTGCTGTTATTAATACGGCAGGAAATGAGCACCAAAAATCATCTGTTTTTCCACTTTTACCGACTACAATACAGTAGGACCAGTGGACATCCAAAAACAATTTCCTCACATTCGTTCGATAATAAGCTCAAGATAGGGCAATTTGGCACCTAAGTACTAACACAATACACAACCTTTTCCTAAAATTGACTCCCTACTAGGGCTCACACGCTATTTATCACCCCCTCAAAACAATATTTCCAAAGCTTCCAAACATTTATACATTCATAAGAATAAAAGTAACCTTTCACCATCTAAGCAATTGAGACAAATATAAAGTGACAATTTCCAAAATCTCAAATCAAATCTCAAGAACATTCCAATTTCACAATTCTCCATTCAAATACCACTTTGATATCATAATCCAACCATCAATTTAAAGAATTAAGGATCAATTTCATTTTATCATATTATTTCTAAATTTTAACAATTAGGGTTTTCATAAAATTTGGGGCTTTTGCCCCTCCAACATATATAATATTATTTCTCATCTACTTCCATAATCCAAAGCTAATAGTAAAAATCTTGAGAAAATTGTAAGAAGATCTTTATTTTTGAAAGAAACTTCAATTTATAAACTCAAATATTCATCAACTCATCAATGTCATGGCAATACTACATAAACAACTTCAAATCAAAGAGATACACGGTTAAAAGAAATCCTACCTCAAATATCAAAGCAAAGAAGCTAGTCCAAAGATGAATACCCCGAGAAACAAAAATCCAATCGATAGAAAAACTTGATCTTCACCCAAACTCCAACTTTTGTAAGGAAAAAGGTTGCAAATCTAAGTAAAATGGGAGATTTCTAGAGAGATTAGGGTTTTCGGAACTAGAGAGAGAGAAAAGAAGAGAGAAAAGAATGATCTACACAGTCACTTTTAAGTGATTGATGTCGCGTTGACCACTCGAGCGGTCTTTCCACCGTTCGAGCGATGAATGAAAGCTCCCAGTATCTTTATCTGAAAAACGAGATACTGTGGACCCCCTCATTTTCGCTTGAGTGGTCCATCGACCTGCAAAGTGAACTACTAGAAGCCTCTCACCGCCACTCAATCGGTCATCTCACTGCTCGAGCGGTCACTTGAGACAAATTGTCACAAATATTAACAATTGAAAATAAATCAAAACATAAATCTTAAACAAAATCATCAAAATACATTGGCCTTGTTTGGTTTGTGTTTTGAGATATTATTTCAAAAATAATTTTCTAGAAAGAGTTTAGAAAATTTAAAAATTTGTTTGTTGTATATTTTGAAGATAGTTTTAGAGTTTGGAATGATTTGATATTTTTGTAGTTGAATAGATAGATATGAGAGAAAAAATGATTGAGAAAGAGAGATGAGAGAAAAAAAGTAATTGATTGATATGCAATAGAGAAAAGAGTGATTTGGATTTTTTTTTTATAATTTTCAACCAAACATGCCGGTTGAAATTTTTTCTCCGAAAAACATATTTTGAGAGACAAACCAAACATACCCATTATTTCTAGCAGAAGCAACCATGATGGTTCACCAATGATCGTTGCAATGGTAACTGGTAGTGTGTACTAAAAATGTCAGATTAAGTTATGTCCAAAATGATAATTTAATTGAAAGATATAATGGTAATTAGAAAAAAGCAAGTAAGTAAGCATGTGAATTGAGAAGCTTAGTGGTGTGTAAATAGAATTTTCTAATTTGTTAGTACTAATTTCTCACCAAATCACCAATATCCAAATGCAATCTATACTATATTAATGATAATGAGATTTCTAATGAGAAGAGCCTTATGAAACTTAAAACTCTCAAATTATTTTTTTTCTAGAATTTTTATTTTTTAAATAATTAAAAAATATTTTATTGAATTATTAATTTTTTTTTATTATACCTTGATTTACACATTTCAAAAGGAAAGTTAACTAATCAGTTTTAAAATTTTAAAAAAATCTTTAAGCTCTTATTGAATCATTTAAAAAAAAAAATCTTATTATACCTTGATTCATACATTTCAAAAGGAAAATTAATTAATTCATTTATAAATTTAAATTTAGAAATTTGAAAAGGAAAGTTAATCAGCTTTAAAATTTTTAAAAAAATCTTATAACTTTTATTGAATCATTTAAAAAAAAAATCTTATTATACCTTGATTTGCACATTTCAAAAAAAATAATAATAATTAATTAATCATTTAAAAATTTAAATTTAGAAATTTGAAAATGATCAGTTTTAAAATTTAAATTTTGTACCTCTAAAATATAAGAATCAATTCACATCTTCTATAATTTATTTCTCTTGGTGTTTAATTTTTTAAATATTTAAATTTTTTTATATTAGCTAGCTTTTATTCCTTTATAATGTAATTGATAATTCATTTTAAGAACTTACTTCTCTCACCAAATATTATATAATTTTTTTTTTTTAGATAGTATATATCAATACAATAATGGATCCAAGACTCCTTCCAAACATTGTTGATATGTTTGGTTCATGGTTTTGGATATAAATTTTAAAAGAAAAAATGAAAAATGTGTGTAAAATTAGGTAAAATGTAATTATATTTCATTTACATTTCATCCTTTTTTTTTTTTTTTCCTTTCTCATTTCAAATTCCTACCCAAATCCATGAATCAAATATAACATAAAATTGGGTACATATTTTCCATATTTAAAATTTTGAATTAATATTACTTTTTAAATTGTGTACTACAAACTCTTATCATACATGTCTCTTCATATAATAATGATTGAAATTTATTTAAGTTGCTATCTCAAAAATTAGTTATGGAGTCAAAGAAAATGTTTAGGTTTTAAAATTTTATGCAAGAATTGTTCAAATGTAATTCTTTTAATATTTATAATTTTTTTTATTGATTTATAAAAAGCACAGTAAATATTAAAATTATAATATATATATATATATATTATGATATTGAGTTATTAATGTGATGTATTATAGGTTAAACCAATAATTATTGGAAAAAAAATCAAGTCGAATTAGATTTTCTAGGCTAATTTTAATATTTAATTCAGTATTGGAACTCAAACTAACTTATACCGGCCACGAATTAATAAAGACAATTTTTAATGATTAGATGAAAGTTACATTAGTGTAAATATTGAGTTGAGTAGTTTGTAGGTCACTTCTAATGTTTAGTCCGATACTACATGTCAATCCTAATTCATTTTTACGTTAGAGTTATGACATACGATAATTTACAATTTTGAGTAGATAAATTTGTAAATAAAAAAAAAGAGTATATTAACAAATGTTATTTACTACTATCATTGCTAAATTAAAATTATAAAACTTATAAAACGAAATGTATTTATATTTTATCATAAATATAATTTTTGTAATTTACTTTTTAATCTTTACCAATTAAATTAAGACATGTCATTTTTTATTAAGAATTTAGAACATATCATTAATGATATCAGAATAAAATATTCACTTATTGTAACTTTGATAAGAATAAATAAAATTTAATTAATTATAAAATATTTTTAGTTCATAATTTAAATAAATTTTATATTATTATTTTAATTTAGCTAGTTATATTAGAGCATCTGCATCAGCCTCTACAATGATTTTGAAGCTATTGTAGAGAGCAAAAGCTGTAAATCTCAGCTCCATCAGACTCTCTATAGCCTTCATTCATTTGGATTTTGTTACAGTGCCTCACCTGATTTGTTGAGGCACTGTTTATACGGTAATATATTTTTTATTTTATTTTTTGGAGCAAAATTGGGCAAAAAAGTCATGGCCGGTCGTCTACTAGGATGTCTCCCGGATGTCTTTCTAGATGTTTTACGAGTGCTTTGTAACAAAGAAGGAAAATGCTCAAATTTAGCATGACCGGTTGACCGCCCCTCAGTGGGTTCGACCCTCTTATGTTGCTGCTGTTGTTGTTTTGAGTCTTGTTTATGTTTACATCTTCATAATATTTTAATGAAATAAAATTTCAAAATATAAAATTTGATGGAATGGATATATAAAAAGGAGACTAAAAGCATCTCTAACAGTTTAGCAAGATTTTCACCAAATCTAAGTAAAAAAAAGTCGATTTTCTTAATCTGATACGCGTTGTTCCAATGGTTATGGTTACTATAGTGTGCATCAAAAAAGGAAAGGGACATCCGGTGGGTCGACCAGTTCAAATTTTTTTTGAACCGTTTGAACCAGTAATTTGAACCATTTGAACCAGTTCGCAGGCTAATTTTTGCATGAGCCAGTCGACCGATTGGTCCACCGGGTGGTTAGGTGGTCAACTGGGTGGTCGACCCCGTAGCGTAAAATTTTTATAAATTTATGTTTTAACGGCTATGCACAGTGAATTGGTTAAAGGAGCAAGTCGTCCCCAGTTTGGTGAAACGTTTAATATTTTCACAATTTAATACTATTTTGATACAACCGTTGAAATATAAAAATTACTTTTTTTTCATCAAAATTGAATTTAATGTTGAATTTGATAACGGTTGGAGATGGCCTTACTAAAATATAAAAATGAAATTTACTTTATAATTTGGACCAAAATTTGTTGAGGCTGACAAGACTGTTAATAGGGAGAGCGAACAACTCCCAAGTTCCAAAAGATGAAAATTCCAGCATAAATCTATTTTATCTCACTCTGGGTGGAAAATTCTATCGAGAATCAAACACCCTCTCCAATGGCTTCTACAACAGAATCCAATCATCATTATCATCAGCAGCAGCAGCACCATAACCGTCAGCATATCAGCAGCAACTTATCTCGATTAATCCAATCCACAGCGTCCAATCTCTCTTCTCTCATCATCCCCTTCCACACTCCCAAGCCAATCTCCTCGTCAACCACTCCCTCCAAGATCTGCGTTCCCCTCCGGTTCGCCCACTCCGCTCCACAATTTCTCTCACTAACACCACCGTCTTCCTTCTTTGAGTCGACTCAGACCGACTCACCGTCTTCACCGTCTTCGTCTTCTCCGGCACTCAAGGACATGCCATCGCCCTCTGGTTCAGGTTCTGGTTCTGGGTTTCCTTCGACGGTCAGGATTTCCAGCTTGAATTCCGCCGGAAAGGGCGGCCCGGCCTTTGTAGGCCAGGTTTTCAGCATGTGTGACCTTTCTGGGACTGGCCTCATGGCAGTTTCCACCCATTTCGACATACCCTTCATCTCTAAAAGGTAATTCATTAAATATCTATACTTCTAACCTGTTCTATACTTCTCTCTAGGATATATGAGTGGATTCAAGTGCTTACATATTCAAACCAGGCTACCTTGTCTTTCTATCTATTGGATTGTTATTGATTTTCACTGCTTTTGGAATCTTGATATTTGAATACTAGCAGTCTAGCAACACATGTTCGGATTAAACTTTCGGTTAAGGAAAAATTTTGGTCACTCCTATGGTTGATCATTTCACACACATGGAATGAGCTTAGGGCATGTTTGATTAGTAGGATTATAACATAGGATTGGGATTGTTAGTCCATCGACTCACAATCCCATGTTTAATTGCAAATTTTATTAACCAAATTACATGTACGGTAGATATTTAATCCAATGAAATTAATGATTTTTTAATATTGAGAGGGGTTGGGATCATAATTTCAAGTATGAAAGAAAAAAAAACAAAATGAATACACAATATATGGTTATCTCACTAATTTAATTGGATAACTAATCCTACATTAATTCATGGGATCATTAATCATTTCACTATTAATCCTCTTAATCAAACAAGGCCTTAGGGTGTTGATGAAGATGTGTTCTTTTGATTAGTCCAAGGGAAACAGTGCGGAGGCTAATTGTTGCTGAATTATAGGAAGGGAGTTTTATTTATTTATTTTTAACAGGGAAATGATATTCCTACTCCCCTTTAGCGTCTGACAATCCTTTTTCTTTTTCTCGTCATCTTCCCTTTCACAAGGCCAGTGTGAAGGGATGAAGGGGAGGCTGAATATCATTCCCTTTTTCATAGACCGTCACTGCATTTGTCATAGAAAGAAAGGGAGGTCCTTGAAGGCTATCAGGCGTGATAAAGGAATGGGATTTTTCCTAGGAGGATGGAGTGCTCCCTGCAATGGTTTCGTAGAAATGTTATTGAAAACATATACGTTGGCTAATAGAGGAGCACTAGCCCTAGAAGATTTATTTGGCTGTGGTATGCCTTCTAGATTAAAAATCTTTGTATTCTATCCGTCATTGGTTTTATTTTGCTTGTTTATAGTTGTTTACCTTTTAATTGGAGGAAATCTGTTCCTCTTGGTTATGCACTGTTTATGTTTTGTTGTATTTTATTTTTTAGTTTCTAAGGAATAATATGGGGACTTTTTAGACAATGGAGGTATGGAGAGGGAGGGAATTCGCCGTCTAAGGTCTTACCATGCTTTTACAACGACTCAAAGTTTCTATTTTAGAGGTGTTTATTTGTTGCAAGAATAATTGAAATAAGTGTTTTCTTCTAAACATATGGTGTTCATTTTTGAAGCATAGGTGTGACATAGGATCTTATAGGTTTTCAATTTGATATTTCTTTTATAAATTGAAAACAAGGAGAACACTGTCCAATGTATCTTATAAAATCCACTGTAGGGGGAGGGTCCTAGGCGTCAATTGTGGCTATTTGATCATGTTATATTTACTTTATTTTCTGGTTGGAATAATGTTTTTAACTGCAGTGCTTTTGGTTAATTCTCTTTGATATGTAGAACACCTGAGTGGGTTAAGAAGATGTTTGCAGCAGTTACTAAGATCCCCGGCCCCGCCCCCCCGCGCCCGGTCGTTTGAATTTTCAGCCTGTACATCATGAAGTAAAATTATATCCAGCCCGCTGAAATTTAGAACAGTAGAAGATAATATGCACCAAGGTACACAACAGAGGATATATTATATTGTGCATACAAAATGACTGCATGTATGTTTATTTTTCTAGTTGTTATATTTACTTTGTTTTCTGGTTGGAATAATGTTTTTAACTGCAGTGCTTTTGGTTAATTCTCTTTGATATGTAGAACACCTGAGTGGGTTAAGAAGATGTTTGCAGCAGTTACTAAGAGTCAGAGGAATGGCCCTGTGTTCCGTTTTTTCATAGATCTAGGTGATGCAGGTAAGTTTGACACTCTTTATGTTTATTTTGGTCATTTTCATTAACTATTTTCGTGTTTTATTTATTTGTTTATTTTTCATTCTCATGTCCTTTTGAGTATTTTTCTTTTAATTTTATGCTTATTATTTTTAAATTGGAATTATAATTGTTTGTAGACATAGATGTCTTACAATTTAATTGATTATTTTCCAGTTTCTTATGTTAAACGGCTGAATATTCCAAGTGGTGTGGTTGGTGCTTGTCGTCTTGATTTAGCATATGAACATTTCAAGGTATGGCTTGCTTGATTTGAGTGGATGTTGTATTGGGAATTTTTTTTTTTTTTTGGTGGTAATTTAAGGGTAAAATCCTACTTTACTCCCTTGTGGTATGTCTCTGAAGCACTTTACCCCCTTTCTCTTGACAATAGCCTTATACCCTCCACACGGTTTTGGACTAAATTCCAACACTGACTCTATTAATTTTATTTGTAAAATGACATTTATGCCTTGTCTTCCCACCACTTTGATCTTTTTAATTGAGGGATCCCTTTCTTTTTCTTTCTAAAAATCAGTTTCTCCCCATCTCCAAAAATCAAACCCAGTTCATCTTTTTCTCCCTTCGTCCCCACTTTCTCTCTGTTCTCTTTCCTTTCCATTATGGAACACCTAACCATTTCTGCTAAAGATAGTGTGTATCTAATTCCTTGATTATAGGCAATGTGCATAATTATTTTAATGGTTTTATATCCCTTGATGGTAGAGGTTGATTACAAAGCTTGATTACAGGGATTGATTACAGGCTTTGTAAATTACATGGCCTTGATTATGGGCCTGGCTCCATTTGAATGAATAAGATATATACCTATTACTAGTGGGCAAATCGTGAGGGTACCAAAGAAGAATCTACCGTGTAAAACTAATCACCAGTTAGATCATATTGAAGAAAGACTATCAATGTCTGATTTGTAATGCTTGACAAGCCAATCAATAACTAAGAATGACAACAGTGATAAATTTAAGCCCCTTCACAATATAATTATATGTCATTTTTTTTAATGCCAAATAGGAATAATAAAGAACCAAAAGCTCAGAACAATGCCAAAGTAGTGACACTGCCACTGTTTACATCTGTTTAGTCAGTGATGGTTTGGTTAGCAGATCAAAAAGTTCATTTCTTGAGATGCTGAGGTTGTCATGATCGTGGAGGATGGAGGAGGTGGTAGGGGAGGTCATGGACGATGGAGGAGGTGGCGGGAGAGGTGGGAAAGTTGGTGGGATTGGTGGCAGGTGGTGCGGGAGATGAGGGGTTGAGGATCATGGTTTTTTAAGGTAGAAGATGAAGACAAGGGTTATTTTGTCTTTTTACGGGAAATGTAATGTTAACACTTTGGGTAATTCTATTGACACACCACAAAAAATCTTAGTACACACCATTTATATTGTTCAGATATGAACCTCCTAACAAAACTCAAATGTTCGGATATAAACTTATGAACAAAAGCAATTGTTCTGACATAAACAACTGAATTAAATATATATTTGAACAATTTATTTTTGTTCATCAATTTTTGTTTGAACATTTGCCTTTTGTTCAATAGTTTATATCCGAACAAAACAAATGGTGTGTGTTGACATTTCTTGTGGTGTGCAAATAGAATTACCCTAACACCTTAGTCCAAAAATGTGTGGGAAGTATATGGCTATTTTTAAAATATAAGGGGGTAAAGTGCTTTAGGGCTATATCATTTGGGAGGGGGGTAAAGTGAATTTTTCCCTGTCTTTAAAATAAGCATTCAATTTCTATGTGATTTATGCATTCTTGACGTCCCCTTTTCTCTATTTTGCTACATATGTGATTGTGTTCATGTAGCATATTAGCATGATTTAAACTGTGTTGCTTTCTGAACTTATTTGATATAATTTCTTTCATTTCGTATTACGAATTACTTTATCGCTTCATGTGTTGTCTTTTTACCACAAATTGATTTTGATGTATTTATTTCAAAGGAAAGGAGAAGTGGTTGAGGTGTTATATGGCTGTATAATGTAAAACATGGATTAGCTGTCATTGTCCAAGGAGGACAGATCAATTACTACTTCCACAACCAATTCCAAAGATTAGGGCTGCCATTATGTAGGTGACAGCTAACGTAAAACCCCGTTAGACTTTATATATTAATGTGGCTTGAAATGGTAGGGGAAGACATGTTAGTTTGTAATTTGACAATTGATCAAGCTGAATGACAGCATGGGATTCATGTAGGCAACCAGTCACGACCCCAACCCGCTCCTAGAGGTTTAGGCCATGATCGACCAGTAATCATAAGGGCTGTTTGAAAAGTGAGGTTTTAGCCTAATTTAGGCTAAAATCCACAAAAAGATAAAATAGGCTAAAATAGTTAATAAGACAAAATATCACATCAAACCGATAATCATTTCACTTTTCTCTCACAAACATCACATCCAACTACAAAAAAATCCAATCATCTTCTCAAATACAAAAATTTTAGCCTACTAAAGTAGCTTACTAAAATAGCAACTTCTCAAACACCCACATAGATTACCTATGGCCTTAAAGACAAAATTTCAAAATATTTAAACAATATTGGGGCCTAAAACGGAAGCAAAATAAAAATAAGAATGTCCATTGAGCTGTGTGTACATGATAAACTGAAACAATTAAAATATTTATAATATGCCTTCACATACACACGACATATCTTGTACATCTCACACACATATATACATAAGACTCAAGCTTTGACAAAATAAAACTAAAGCCTCAACACGGAGGTACTGCTTGGGTGGTTTGACAAAAGGGCAGACTCCGAGGCAAACTCTAATACTGATCTTCTAGTTGCTCACCTACACGTATAAGGGAGAAAAACATGTTTTACAAGTCCAAAACGAATCATATTTCATGATATAAAAACATTTCAAAAAGGTAGTAGATTCATGCATTCAATGAGATCCAACTCATAAAGCCCAGTAAGTAATACCAAAATAAAGAGGTTAATGAATGAAATCCAACATGATATAAAAACATGTTTTACAATTCTAAACGAATCATATTTCATATTCATGTCAAAACGTTTGCTATAACAAAGTCTATCTCATAAAACATATCTTCCAATTTTCAAAACAATTCATATATCCAATCATATCAATATTTACGATAACAATAACTGATTGAGTCTTATACGTAGTACATCTAATAGAGTAACAATATAACAATGTGCCGAAGCCAATAGGACCACTAGGGTCAATCTAATGGGACCACAATGGGTTAATCAATAATTCACAATTTAATGTGGATCATTAAGGTCTAACATCAGAGATATCTGTGTTTCAATTAATTCAATGAGACATGGTATTGTTTTCCCTAGGCGAGGACCTATTAATCAATGGGCCATGGTATTGTTTCCCCCAGGTAAGGGCCTCACTAAAGGATGTCACAAATACATTTCAAAAAGGTACATTCATTTATTCATATGTGAATAATTGTGATGAACTATGAATATTGTGGCGGGGTCGTCACACAACCCTAAATATTTGAGTTGAACTATGAATGCATGGTCTCAAGTCAAGAACCTCTGAAATGTTAATATTCAGGAAATGAACAGACAAGCTGATTATAGAATCATTATAACAAAATATGGATGCCAAGATGGATGTGTGACAAGATGTGTTGTTTTAATTAAGCATGGAAGTTAAGAAGTTAGATGTAGCAGCCTGCTTACAAATAAGATTTATGTAAGTTGCTTGGATGATTTGGTTATCAACTGTAAAATAAGTGTCTGCTCCATATGGAAGAAATAAGATGGTTCAACTTGAAGGTACTATTAAGGATGAAAATAAAGTCTCCTAGGACATAGGTTTTGGTAAGATGGAAAACATGATGGATTGTGCTTTTCAAAAAAATACAGTCCCATATAGAGTAGAACGGCCACAGAAAGTGTCAACGTTATCAATCAAACCCCTAAATAGTTGAACATCTTTTTCTACTTGGGTTGACATCGGTGCTTACTGTTTCTATTGCTACATTGTGGGACATATTATTTGCATGTATTTTATGCCTTATTTGATGGGTTCTGGGTTTTTTTTTTTCTAATCTCAAATTTGATTTGATGGACCTTTTTCTCTCTGCACCTATTTTAACACTGTTCGCCATGTGCTATGCAGGAGAAACCTCACTTGTTCCAATTCGTTCCAAATGAGAAACAAGTAAGATGCAATGTTGGCATCTTGTTAGACATTGGCATTTGTTTGTAATAATTTTCTCATGCAGGTCAAAGAAGCCAATAAACTTCTCAAGACAATATCACAGAATGGTGGAAGGAAAAGGGTAGATGGTGTTCCTGTTTTCAGTGCTCAAAACTTGGACATTGCTATAGCGACAACAGATGGGATTAAGTGGTATGTTAAATGTGTTCAATCAATGATTTGTCTTTAATTTCAACGTTCTTATTTCTTGCAGATTCTTATTTCTTTTCTGTATAGTTCAAACATCAATGTCAATTGTGGAGACTAGAAACATCTTCTCATCATATGAACGGGATGCCCATCTTAACATTTTTTTGTTTTTGAATTGAGTATTAAATGGACTGGCCATTGATTAGCGGGCATAAGTTTTAAGCTTTCTTTTGTTGCCAATTAATTATTGATATTGGGTTATATGTCCTCCTTTTGTTGGAAAGTGAAATGCTGTTATTGGATCCTTTTGGTCCTTATTGTCCCTATCTCAATGGTAAAAGTAAGGAAGATTACTCCAGGATATGAATTCTCCATTTCACTGTAGAGCCTGAAATGTCTTCAGCCAACTGTTTAACTAAATATTTCCTGTTCACCCCAACCTACTCTTCTCTTTCTTATTAGTGTTCATTTGAGAACATCTGACACTTGCACTGTTGTTCTTGCTTCCATTAGGTATACTCCGTATTTCTTTGATAAAAACATGTTAGACAACATTCTTGAAGAATCGGTTGATCAGCACTTCCATTCATTAATTCAAACTAGGAACTTGCAACGCCGGCGGGATGTTATTGATGACAACTTGGCCGCAGAAATGACTGAAGAGACTGCAGAAAGTGTATGGGAACCACCAGAGGTATGAAAAAAAATACCGACTTACTTTTTTTTTTTCTGCATGAAAACTAAGAAGATAGGAAACCAAAATGATTACAGATTTGCCATTGTTTGGATTTGTTTGTTTGTTTGTTTGTGTGCTTTGTTTTGGGCTTTCTTTTGGGGAGCGGGGTGTTGTGGTTTTTGTTAGGGGACAAGGTGGAGGTGGGGGTGGGGGTGGGAGAAGGGAAGGGGAACAGTTAAACAGTAAATTTGACGAAGAGAAGAGTTGCATGTTCTTGTGTTTGAGTACCTTGTCTTTGTTTGTCATTCTGTCAATTTCTTGCTCTGTTTTCCTTTTTGAATGGTCGGAGGTGTTGTGGGAAGACACCATGGCCCTTTGGGAATTATTGTCGTCATGGAGATGGCACAAGATCACCATATTGAGGGAGAGAACTGAGGCAGTCTTAGAGTAGATAGAGAGAGAGTGGCAGTGAAGGAGAAACTTTTGAACTTGTTGGAGATGGTGAATATGATTGTTATGTATATGTCTATACATTCTTGTGTGGAGTTTTGTGGGAGATATGGGTCTATAGAGCAGCTCAACCTTGCACAATGATCACTTGGGGACAGGTGACTCATTCCCTTTGGTATGCTTAGGAGGGACGTATGAAGGAGCTGTAGTGAGTAGGTATTATACATCTTGCAAGGTATAACATGACTTAGTGAAAGTGAGGTGGAACATGCACGCATGGAGATTTTGTATTTATTATTTGATTTGATTTATTTATTTTAAATTATAGTTTAATTTGAGTTTTATTTTAGTTAGGATATTATGATTTAGTTTTCTATGTTAATTGAGTTTTATTAGGAGTTTAGATTTCCTATTTAGATTAGATTTTCTAGCTTATATGTATATATTAATTTTTTGCATTGTAATAGTTAGCTTTTGATTAATGAGAATTTAAGTATTAAGGCTGCGGCCATTGTGTTATGGCTGTGGCCCTCTTCTTCCTCCCCTCTCTTCACTTCTCTCTTTTTTTTCTCTAAAGCGTTCTAAATCACAAAGCTTGACCCTTGTTGTAAAGGCCTCTCTTTTTGGTCTAAGGTTGGTCAAAGTTTGACTTCCCCTTAGCTATAGTTGTCAATCCACCATCACTTGTGATCCCTCATTGGGTCATAGGTTGCTCGGGTGTCCTATGGCCTGAGGAACTTACCATTAAGGGGTTTCTAGGCCTATCTTTTGACCTAGGTTGTCATGTAAGCAACATAATGCCCTTCCTATTCATAGCTTGCAATGGTCGAGTGAGGCAAGTGAGGTGACAAGTGAAGGTAGCCGGGCAGAGCCAAGCAACCTTAGATGACTGAGCGGAATCAAGCGTAACCAAGCCAAGGTTCAAGTTGTGCCTTATGATATTATGGGATGATTTGGGCCAACTTGTAGCAATGACGTAGCTTGCTACATAGGAATCCAAATACATGTAAGTATATTAGTCCCTGTGCAAGGGCTCTCACGAGCCAATGAAAGTGGTCATGCATATCTCTTGATCATAGAAATTGGGTGACACTTTGACTCAATTTGGATGGTATGGCGAACGGGAATGAGATTGTGATTTCAGGTCTCTATGATTCCACTATTTGGATAGGAAAAAGAATGTAATTCCTGCTTACCTATTTGAGCTAGACTCACTTTTGCAAACTAAGCAAGAAGCTGATTCCCACAACCCCATGGTAATTTTAGATTCCAGCCCAATCTAGAAAAAAAGGAAACTGAGGGCTTTAATATATTTCCTACTATACAACATTTAATAAAATAGAATCCTCTCTATGCCGTCTTTCTCTTCCTTGCAATCTCTCCCATCTTTCTCTCTTCTCCAATCACACTTTGGTTTCTATACTTGGACACTATAGCTATGTTAGATCACTCTCTCTCTCTCTGAATTTTATGTTTTTTAACAAGAAAATCATCATTTTTGATTCCAGATTTCTTGGTTAATGACAAAGTGAAAGCAATTATTATTGTATTGTATCCAAAATAACAAGCACAAGAAATCAGCTTGGAATTGATTCAAATTAATTGCAAAACTTATCATTTGATTAATCTATCTTATAAAAGTGGTGACCCAACAATTCAAAAAAAAAAATGTTCATTGTAATTTTTGTTATTGTAACATTGATTCTTTATTACTTGAAGATATTCTCAACAATTTTGGGAATATGGACACAAAAGCACAATGGCAATGTGACATGGAAAACCATTCTTGATCCAAACATAAAAGACATCTTTTAGTTTAATTGAGTTTTTTAAAATCTCATTCCAATGGTGAAATTTTGTCTGCTAAAGTTGATTAGTTTTGTTGAATTAATAGATTGAACCCATGAAAGCCTTGAATAATTTAGGGACAATAAGGTTTAGAACTCTGAGTAGAATATAGTCAACAAAGTGTCGATGGAGCACAAAGTGATGAACGTAGGGTGTTTTGGACAACTAAATAAATTCTCATTCCATCCCTTGTTTTAAAAGTTACACAAAACACTTGAATATGCTTTAATTATTATTTTTTGTATTTATAAAATTCTTGAATTATCCAAACACTGGAATGAGATTACCTTAGTGATGATATGGCAGCAAACGCATTAGATGACAAATAAATTGAAAAATATATGATTTTTTTTATATTATTAGAAATTATATGATTTAATAGGAACTCCGCTGGGGTTGTTAACAACTCCGCCAGTCCCAAGCCCGGGTTAAGGAGGAATGTTGTGTGTTAGGTAACCGACAGCCAACACATAAAAAAAACCGCTCGGATCCGTTATGACAATGAATCCTACTTTGAATCGTTTAAATACTAGGTTGTTCCCCTCAAGTGACGCGTTGTGCCTGCCTCCAAGCGTTTCGAAAAGTGAGCAAGGGGCGCCGCATCGATGCCTGGGTGCGGTGAAAAGTGGGCAATGGTTGGCGCGATTTTATGGACGAGCGCGGGTAAAAAAGCTAGTCCAAGACTATAGGTTTAGGGACTATAGGTTTAGGGTAGCTACTTGGAATATAGGAATCTTAACTGGTAAGACGATGGAATTGGTAGCTGTTATGATTAGGGGGAGAGTTAGTATAGCTTGCGTACAAGAAACTAAGTGGACGGGTGAGAAAGTTAGGGAAATTGAGGATACCGGTTTTAAACTGTATTATAGTGGTAAGGATGAACGCAGGAATGTGGTAGGAATCATAATTGCCAATGGTCTTATGGAGAATGCAGTGGCGGTCATTAGGAAATGGGATAGGATTATGTTAATTAAACTAGTTATTAAAGGGAATATAGTGAACGTTATTAGTGCATACGCCTCTCTAGTAGGATTAGATAATCAGACAAAGAGGGATTTTTTGGAGTAAATGGATGAGATCTTACAGGAAATACTCGTAGGAGAGAACCTAGTTATAGGTGGAGATCATAGTTGTCAAATCGGGATTCGTATCATGAATCGAAATGGTCTCGTACCGAATCGCGAATCAAATCGAATTGTGAATCGTAAAGATTCGGTAACTTTTTCTAAATTACTTAAAAACATATATCTACACATTTAGATATTAAATATATCTTATGAATATAAAATATTTAGATTTAAATCAATGAAAATGTTGTTTTGAATAATAATCACGTAGTTTAATAGATAAAAAGTTAACAAAAGTTCCTATGTAAGATCACCATCTTACCTTTTTTCTTTTTTGGATATTTCTTATCAACCATTCTTAAGAAAGATAATAACCAAATAGACAAACTATCAATTTTCAAAGTGACAATAATTAACAACAATATTGATATTTGGACAATAAGCGTATATACTTTTCTAAGTAACAGTAAGCAAATAATAAAAAAGAATTATTTAGAATATTTTATTTTAAAGTCTAAAATATTTTAAAAGGTATAATTGGCCTCACACATATAATATTCGATTATATTCAATTTAATAAATAGCAATAGATAATTCATAGTGTAACTTTAATCTTAAACATCTTTAAAAGATATATTATGATTTTTTAAAAGGAAAAAAAAATGAGAAGAAAGGTTAAAAATATGTTGGGTTTAATTGAATCTGATTGGATCCTATTAAAAATTTCATGATCACTAAAATAACAACAAACCATGTATATATGTTGGTCATTTTGGTATTAAACGCTATTAAAAGTTGTATTATGTCATTTTTACTAAAAAAAATAGAGAAAAAAAGAATCGAAAATATGTTGGACACACTAATTTCAAAAATTGCATGAATCGTAAAAAGTGAATCGAGTCGTGAATCGATTGTGAATTATGCGATTCACTAGAGATTCACTTCTAAAATAGATTCACCCATAGATTCGTATCGATTTTGCAAAAATTGTAAATCGAATCGTAAATCAAATCGTGAATCGTAAGATTCTAATAACAGAGGTGGAGATTTTAATGGCCATATAGGCATAGATAAATTAGGCTATGAAAGGGTGCATGGTGGATACGGTTTTGATGACAGAAATGAGGCTGGAGAGAATATCTTAAATTTTGCATTGGCTTCTGATTTGGTGGTGGCCAATACTAAGTATAAAAAGAGGGAGGAGCATTTGATAACCTTTAAGAGTGGGTCAGTTAAGAGCCAAATAGATTACTTCTTGGTGAGAAAAGTGGACCGCTTAAAATGCAATGATTGTAAGGTGATTCTTGGAGAGAGCTTGACCTCTAAACATAGGATTTTGGTACTAGATTTATGTTTTAGAGGGCAATACCAAGCTAGGAAGGATGGTAGGTGTCGTAGGATGAGATGGTGGGATCTAAAAGCGGATAAACTAGAAATATTTAAGAATAGAATGGATAAAGAAGGTATTTGGGACTTGGAAGATGATGCTAACATTATGTGGAACTCGATGGCCAATTGTATGAGGACAATCTCAAGGGAAGTGCTTGGAGAGTCGAAAGAAATGGGACCCAGCTCTAGGGAAACTTGGTGGTGAAGGGAAGAGGTTTAAGCGATAGTTAAGGCAAAAAAAGAGTGCTTTAAAAAGTGGCAGAA